GGTGTCCCCCTTCCCTGGAGGGTATGCCCGGTGTCCCCCTTCCCTGGAGGGTATGCCCCGTGTCCCCCTTCACTGGAGGGTATGCCCGGGTGCCTCCTTCACTGGAGGGTATGCCCGGGTGTCCCCCTTCACTGGAGAGTATGCCAGCTGTTAGTTGAGAGACGAGTACCTGAATCAGACTACAGCTTTTCATGGCCCCCTCTGGCTCAGCTGATTGATACCAGGAGGGGAGGGAAGGCTGGGAGGCTGGGTGGCCCTATAGCTGCTGAGATGGAGTGCAGTGTTTGCACTGTTGGGCCAGCTCTCAGAGACCTGTACATAGAGGGTACTGTGGCCCAGCAGGCTGCAGGGGTGCCCAGACCAGATGCCCTGGGGCCAGAAGAGCAGCCAAAGCAGCTGAAGACATTTATCAGAGATAGAGGAGGGCAGAAGTGGTAGGTTCTGGGGCATCTGATGTTCCTCTGTGTTGCCATGGGGGAGGGAGAGGGTATGTGGGAGACAGGTGCTTTCTCTCCCCTGCGGGCGGGCAGCCAGCTGGAGTTAGAGGGCCTGCTGACTGTCTTGACTGGAAGGAGGCCTGGGGGCTGAGCCAGGTCACATCTGGGCTGGGAATCAGCTGGGATAGAATCCCTGTTTCCCTGTGCTGTAGCCGGTCAGTCCTAAGTAAGGCTGTATTGTGTGTGCTTTGTTTCTCACCTGCAAGTGAAGGTAACAGTAAACTCCTCATGTTTTCTGAGGATAAGTGTGGTGATACCTGCAAGTACTTAGTAGTCCTGGTAAATATCAGTGTTAGCTTTTATGATCTCATTAACATCAATACAAACCCTCATGGATACAACTGAACTAACAAACATAGTTCTTCCACCTCTGGGATCTAGGATTCCAAAAGAAAAATTCATCTCTCTGATCTAAGACCATAGGGTTAAATCTACATTCCAAAATAAATGTGACAGTGGGTTAGAGTTTCCATTGAGTGCATATATTGTAACCAATGGTTAGTTTTTTAAATTTCTCATTACTTATATTGCAGTGAAGATCCAAAATTTTTTAAATTTGTACGTTTTCTTAAATAATAAGAATTTTCTTTTAACTTTAAAAAAATATTCATTCCTTTGATTGGAGACTATGGTATGGAAAATTCCCAAACTAAAAAGCTAGACTCAGGACGTGACTTAAAGCAGATTGTTTAGACCCGATGTCCCTGCCCTCCAAAAAAATAGAAATTATTGACCCTTTGCCAGTGTTAGGACAGGAGAGGGGTGGAGCATCCAGTATTGGTGAGACTGGAGGGTTTACAGCATATGCCATAAAATACAGGAAGTCTGTGTGTGCTCTGAGGCTACTTTGACCAGTCTCGGGCACCTTATTGCATGTAGCAGGCCTCTGAGGGAAGCCAAGGCAGAAGGCAATCCCTGAACAAAAATAGGGGTTTGAGCCTGGGACACGCTCCAAAGTGGAGAGCTGCCCCTGAGTTGGGCTTGGAGAAAGGCCTTTGAGGTCCATCCCCTAGAAGGCTGAGAGCTCCAAATTCTCCCAGCTGTTGCTGCAAGGAGGACCTCAGAAGCAGCTTCTCCTGGCTGCCAGCGGACCCTGGGCCTCCCAGACTGCCTGGCAGGAAACCCACACTGAGAAGCGCAGCAGGTGTGCACAAGGCCATGGGGCAGCAGAGTCCCTCCATGTGACGTTGCCCCATACTCCCCCAGGCCCCGTAGAACAAAGCAAGCCCTTATCACTGGTAGGCAGGCAAGAGAGAACGAGCCCTTGCGGCTCCAGGTGGGTCCAAGGAGCTGCATCAGCATCACCTGGAATTTGTGAGCAAACAGACTCTCAGGCCTCACCCCAGCCTTCCTGTTAGCAAGCTGCCTTGGATGCTGAGTCAATAGAATCAGCCCGCCTGTAAAGTCTGAGAAGGACACTTGGTGTCTAGTCTGCATCACATAGCACGTGTAGAAGAGCCTACAGTGTTAGGTGAATGTGACCTGTGTGAGCTGCCTGTCACCATGCATGAGTGGGCTTGGCTGCTTGTGGGCAGCCAGGTTCTGTTCAGCAAACATTCCTGTGTGCCAGTTGGGCGTGGGGCCCTGTAGCACAGCGGGGCCCATGGGTTTCATGCTCTGGGGGAGCACAGGCCCATTAACATGGAACTTGAGGATGGTACCATGTTGAAAAGGGTCCTTGCCTTTGTCAGTATGGGAGAAATACTCTGCATTCTCAGAGACAGAGGCCTTTGCCCTGGAACTTCTAGCATCTGACCGACTTCCCTAAGGGACGTGGCCTGGCCCCACTTCCTGTCCCTTTCTGTGCAGATCCTGACGGCGAGTGGCGATGGCACGTGTGCCTTGTGGGACGTGGAGAGCGGGCAGCTGCTGCAGAGCTTTCACGGGCACGGTGCAGATGTGCTCTGCTTGGACCTGGCTCCCTCAGAAACTGGCAACACCTTCGTATCTGGGGTAAAGACCACAGGAAATCGTCTTGGGGTCCTTGGTCTACTGGGGAGAATTTTGGTGGCTTCTTATCAGTTCGTGGGACTAGACCAGACACTCCCTTAGCAGGAGCTGCAGGGGCAGCCGTCTTGCCCACCTGTGACCAGGTGTCTCTTTTAGCAAACCTGCAGCTCTTTCCACCTGCTTGTGTCTGTGCAAGTGTCCTGTATCCTTCTTTCCCTTTTTATGATAAACCTGCCCTTTTGCTTATTTAAAAAAAAAAAAAGTTGCTGCAGGAATTGTCTCAGCCCCTGCAGCCACGGTGGCATTTGGTGGACATGACAGCCTGAGCTGGGAGGGTCTCCTGTTCCGCCGCTGACATTCAGCAGTCTGCAGGGATCGCTCCTGGTGTGAGAGCTACAAGTCGGCGAGCACATCTGCCACATTCAGAGGTGTGGTTCTTAGTGACTGGCACAGAGTCAGCATCTGAGAGCATTAGAGACAGTCACAGGGCACTGAGTGGATCCAGCGGTTGCCAAGGGAAGGCCACGCTGTGGTGTGATCAGGCCTTTGGGCCAGTGGGACACGCTCCTGCCCCGCCCCTGCCAGTGGCCATCCTTCTCCCACCCCAGGACACAGGAAAGAGAGACAGGCCACAGAGCATGGAGCAGCACTAGGCTAGGAGTCAGGATACCCTAGTCCTGTCTGATTCTAATATGTCAGCTCCTGCAAATCAGCTTGACATAGGATAGTACTTCCCCTACCCCCACAAACTTCCCCAGCGTGGGACAGCAGTGAGTAGGAGAGTTATTTGTTATCTGAGTGGAAGATGAGTATTTCTGTGGACTGCTGGGGATGAGAATGAAGAACTCTTTAATGAAGATGGTGCTGAAAGTAAGGAAGGAAGCTCTGTAATCAAGCTTTGAAAGCCAAGAATGCAGTCCTGAAAGGCATCCACAGTCACAAGAAAAAAAAGATCCACACATCACCCATGTTTTGGAGGCACAAGACACTGTGACTCTGAAGGCGACCCAGATATCCTCAGAAGAGCGCCCCCAGGAGAAACACGCTTGACCACGGTGCCATTGAGTTAGCCCTGACCCCCGAGTCAGCCATGAAGAAGACAGTAGTGCACAGGTGTTCACGGTGGATGTCCAGGCCAATAGCAGAGTGCATGCAGCCTGTGAGGAAGCTCTGTGACCTTGAGGTGGCCACAGGCCTGATCAGGCCAGATGGAGAGAAGCTGTATCTTCCACCAGCTCCTGACTGTGGTGTTTTGGATGTTGCCAGCAAAATTGGGATCATCTAAATTGAATCCAGTTAGCTGCTTCTAAATATATATTTTTTAACCATTACAAAAAGCTGGAGAGGGCTTTCCTTGGTGGCACAATGGGCTAAAGCACTACATTATGAAGCTCTCCGAAGCCTTGGCAGCATGAGTTCAATCCCAGGCCAGGGAACTGACCCACATGGTGCAGCAGACCTCTCTTGACCTGCCTGCTGCTCCCCTCAGCAGTGTACTTTGTCAGTCGGCCTGTTCTGCTCCCCACTCTGTTTCTGTTGAATCCTCTCACCCTTCGCATCTCTGGCCTGTACCAAAAATAAATCTTAAAAAAAAAAAAGCTGGAGAACTAAGCCATCTCACCTGGCCAAGAGATGGTGTGAGCAAGGATGCCAATCCTCATACTGTCAGTGACTCTCACAGCTGGAAGACGTCAGGGCACTTTGCTCTGAGCTGCCCCATCTCAGTCCTGGGTGCTTTCTTTTGCTCCTCACCCCTCAAGGCCTACTTCTGGCTTTCCTCTGACTCACCTGCTGAGGAAAACGGCCTTAGGAAGCTAGCTCAGAGAAGCATGTTGTCAGCTATTTGCTAACAGGAACTATACCATCTCTGGTATATAACGGGATTCATGCCTGCCTGTGGACAGTCATTGCAGAGGGCATCACTCAGGGTAACTTTGCCTTTGCAGGGATGTGACAAGAAAGCCATGGTGTGGGACATGCGCTCTGGCCAGTGCGTGCAGGCCTTCGAAACACACGAATCTGACATCAACAGTGTCCGGTCAGTGAGTAGAATGTTCACGTCTCCTCTCTGTTTCCCACTGCTCCTGGCCTGGATTAATACTTAGCCTTGAACCACCTCCAGGCTTAGTTTACTTCCTTGAGAGAAGAAAGGCTGTTTTGTGGTAGAACTGAGCAGCATTTCCTATCACTTTGACAATTTCAAATTAGTTATACTAGAGGATATCAACATCATCCTCTCTAAGTCAAATCACTGTTTCTCAGTCATTCATTCAACAGATATTTACTGAGGACTTATGCACTAGACATTATTTTAGAAGTACAGTTGTGAACAGATTGAGAGGTCTCTACTCTCCTTCAGGAGATATACAAGGCAAAGTGCATGTAAACACATGTGTGGTTTAATTTAATATACTAGGAGTTCTGTGAGTAGTGTGAAACAGAGAGATGGGAGGGGTTGGGTTATTTCTCCGAAGAGTTAGGGATGGCCTCTCTGAGCAGGTGGCATTTAGATTAAGGCCAGACTTGCAAAGCACTGGGGAAGAAGCATGGAGGAGACATGTGAAGGGATCTAACAGAAAGCCAGTGCCTAGTGGAGTTTCGAGTGGGACATTGGCTAACATGGTCTGTGTTGCACCTTTAAAAGTTCCCTCTGACAGTTGTTTGGGAAAAATATTGAGGGGGTGTCCCGGATAGATTTTGTGACAGCAGTTGGAAGGTAGTTTTGTGAGCTCAAGATGACGGAGGCTGGAACTATAGAACACGTAGTGGAGACAAATGTCGAGAGTTGGCAGAGTTTCAGGTTTTTACTGAACCTGCAAGCTAGGTTGGGCTGCCAGTCCCAACCTAGATAGAAGTCAGGAAACTCCTAGGTTAGAGACACAGAGTATCTTATTCTAGCCGTGGCAGTAGTGAAGATGGCCCTGTTGAGGCAGTTTATAAAGTGTGATCACCCAAGAAATTTCATTGTATTTGGTGGGAAAGCACTTTTGTTGTTGTTTGGATTTTTAATTTATTCTATTAAACCATTGTTCACTTTTGTACAGCATTGGCTTCTCCCCTCAGATGTAGACCCCATAGTTTTCCTGCCATATCACTTGTAAACCATCATCATAGTTCCTTTTGCTCTTCCTTCCCATTTTGACCTCTGTCCCACTCCTTTGTTATATGTCTCAGATCTATGGCCAGCATATAGGTGCTCACATCTAAATGATTCCATGCAGTATTTATTTTTTTCCATCTGACTTATTTCACTGAGCACGATCACTTCTAGCTCCATCCATTTTGCTGAAAATGGCATGAGTTTATCTTTTTGATTGCTGAGTAATATTCCATTATATATATACACCATTCATTGTATTTATACAATGTGGTCTATATACCACAATTTTTTGATCCATTCATCTGTTTTGGGGCATTAGGGTTGTTTTTATACCTTGGCTATTGTAAATAGTGGTGTAATAAACGTAGGAGTGTAGGTTTCCTTTTGAATTAGTGTTTTTGTGTCTTTGGAGTAGATTTCTAAGAGTAGAACTGCTGGATCATATGGTAGATCCATTTTTAGTATTTTAAGAAACCTCCAAACAGCTTTCCATTGTGCCTGGACCAGCTTGCATTCCCACCAGCAATGTAAGAGGGTTCCTTTTTCTCCATACCCTCACCAGCATTTGTTGTTTACTATATATGTTCTTAAAAGCACTGAGCAAAATAAAAATATTTAATTACTTTAGCAGTTAAAAACATTAGTAAGAATTGCCGGGCTTCCTGCTCTCAAATGTAGGCTAGGGAGAAAAGGAAAAAAGTATTTTCCTTTTTGCAAATGCATAATAACTACCTAGAAAACCAAAGGAAATCAGTCCAGAAATTACTTCAGAGATAAGTTACTAAATGCAAGATAAGACTATAAAGTCACAAAAGTAAAGTTTCTATATATTCATAAAATACAACTTAAAAATGCACATTCTCTCACTCATACTGCCCCCTCTATCCTGCACACTCTTCCTTTAGTCTATTACTCCTCAACTCAGGAGAAGAGAATGACTGTAACAATACTCACCATCATTTATTGGATACTTTTTGTTTGTCAAATGTCAATTTCTTTTCATAGACATAGTCTTAACATTATCAGCAGGGTTTTGAGAATTGCAACTTTAAGTGAAACAATGTATAATGAAGCCATAGTTTAGTTCAATTTGGGATTGTGATACTATACTGAACGTAAAGTGAACAACTTGAACAAAAGAACATCACTCAAGGATAGCTGCTTTACAGTGGGGATACACATTAGCAGCCTCACTTTTTAGATGATGAAATTAGGCTGGGCAAGGTGAAGTCACTTGCCAAAGTATCTTGCGTATAGAGATCACTTGAATGTGGCTGGGTAGATCTGATTCCAGTGTCTGTGTAAAACTCTTCCCGTATCCCTGCATTCTGAGCCAAGTTTTGGGAATGAGGTCTGTGCTCAGGGGGACAGTAGGAGGCTGCTCTGTGGTCTGTGCCTGGAGCAAAGACCCACATTATCTCATTCACCCCTCACCTGAACACTGTAAGAACAGTGTCACTGGCCCTTGTTTACAGGGGAGAAAGCTGGAAACCAGTGGGCCGGCCACTGAGCCCCCTTTCTGGGCCTGCCTCCTGAGCCCCCTTTCTGGGCCTGCCTCCTGAGCCCCCTTTCTGGGCCTCCATATGCAAGACCCTTCTGTCCTACAAGAGGAAATTCTGATTTCTGAGGGTCTGGTGTGGGGCAGCCACCCAAGATGGTTCTGATGGCTACTCAGGACTGGGAATCGCTCTAAATAAAGTGCTTTCTACTTGAACTTTCTACAGATACTACCCAAGCGGAGATGCCTTTGCTTCAGGATCAGATGATGCTACGGTATGTTTCTTAGTTCTTGAGAGCTTTTCCGATTTGAAAGAGAGATATGCTGACTTCATTTTATGTTTCAAAAATAACCTTTTTTCTTACTACACAAGTACAGATCTTTCTTTACTTATGATGGGATTCCATCTTGATAAACCAATCATTAGCTGAAAATATTCTACATCGAAAATGCATTCAGTACACCTGACCTACCAAACATTGTAAGTGAGCCTCGCCTCATAACTGTGTTCAGTATACTTAATGCTCTTGTGCCCCACGGAGCATGGTTTGTCGGCCCTAACGGCCTTGTGGCCTGCAGCTGTCTGGATCCCACATCATTAGAGAGTGTCCCGCCACAGTTTCTATTGAATGAGCATTGCTTCTGTGTGGTAATGCTAAGAATTCATAAGTCAAAATATGGTTAGGACCATCTGTAATGTGAATCTAGTAAAGAAAACTTGGAGAGAAAATTATATTACCTTAATCACCCTACCCAAAGTCACGTAATGCTTTGTAATTTGCTTTCTCTACTTAGTAATATATTATGAACATTTCTCCATGCCAATACACATTTTTCTGTATTATATTTTCTAAGTGACAGACTAGTATTCCATGATATAGGTGACATCATCACTCAACCAGCTGTCAATTTTTGGACATTTAGGATTTTTTACAAGAGTTTTTGGTTTTGTTAACAAACACATCTAAAAGTAAATATTTTGGGCCACTTTCTAATTGTTTCCTTAGAATTCATTCTCAGCCATAAACTTACCGAGTCAAAAATATGTCTAGTTTTAAAGTTTTCAATGCTAATTGCCACATAATGTTGACCTGTTTTTCAAGAGGGAAAAAAAGATAAAAGATAACACTTTTTTTTTTTTTAAGAGCAAGCATCTTATTAAGTAATGGGTTTCATCCTAATTTGCTACTATGGGAGAAATTACAAGGGAACAGTTTGAGTGTTTTGTCATAAGGAAAATTTAATGTTAGATATCTCAAAATATATATGTGTTTGTGTATATAGACATATATATAAATGTGTGTGTGTGCCTATATATATGTAGGTATAAATTTTGGGGAAAAACTTGCTATATAAATGATCAAGTTGAAAACTTTAAGCTTTGAGTGGGATTGTACCCCAATTAGAAGAAAAAAAAAGAAAAGATAAAACAAGGTTTAAGTGATAAGATGCTCATCAGCCTCGGGGATCAACAAAGAAATGCCAGTGGCCAAGACAATGCTGTAAAGGAGCCTGGGGCCAGACTACTATGCTACTGTCTGGGGGCAGTTTGGATTATGTACTGAGATTTTTCAAGCCCCTGTAAGCCCATCACACTGGATCTCTTTGATCCAGTCATGTTTCCCAGAAACAATTCTAAGGTGTCTTTTTCCCTAGCTATTCTAAAGACAATATCAGATACAGATACATTTTTATATAAATAATGGTCTTCATAATTTTAGTTATAAAAAAAGACACAAAACACTTAACACTGTAACTAAATGGGTTCTGATATACCCTCATGAGGAAAACTCAACAGCCAAGTTAATAATGTTTTTCTAAAGATTAACTATGAGACAAAGCTTATAACATGTTAATAGAAGTAATAGTGAAATAGCCACCCCATTTAAATACACATATAAAGTAGAGTAAGACTGAAGAAAAGTGTTAATAAACACCTCTATGATTTGGGATGACTTGTTTTCTTCTTCATGCATTTCTGTGGTTTTCTGAATTTTCAACAAAGGATATGTATCCCTTATCAGAAAGAGAAAGAGGGATTTCAGTTTGAAATCCTGTATACTTGCTGTGCCTTTGACCCTCCATGGAAATGCGGGTTCCGGATTAAGGGATGTATACTAGTAGAGACAACCAAAGAGCTTTTCCCTTAGCCCTCTAACTACACAAGCCACCAGCACATCTTGCTGTGCCTGTAACTTCATGGTCTTCACTTCTCCAAACCTGAGCCAGAAATGTTTGTTTCTGTTTGTACCAGTGCCGTCTTTATGACCTCCGGGCAGACAGGGAGGTCGCCATCTATTCCAAAGAGAGCATCATATTTGGAGCATCCAGCGTGGACTTCTCCCTCAGTGGTAAGGCTGTCCCTTAGAAACTTCCACAGGACTGTAAAACAGGACTCAGATAAAAGCCGCTCTCTGTCCAGCTTCCCCTTAGCCGAACTTCTTTGGGCCCACATGCTAAGTCATCATTTTCAACAGTTTTCCTCCCCGAGCTTCTTGATCCTTCCTCTCTGGTCTGTCCTCAGTGGCTTCCCTCTGTCCCCCGGGCTGCATCCACTTCAGGGGAAATGAAGAGTGTCCCCGCCTACCACTGTCCTTCAGGATATGATGTGTAACAACCACACCTCTTAGGAACTCCCTCCTAGCATTCCTTTCTCCCTTTATCCAAAAAATGGACCCTTTCAGCAGTAGAGGGGTGAGGAAAGAGACTCTTCCTCAAGCCCTGGAGTTCATGCACCTCTGCTTTCACAGTGGGGAACTGCTGGTCAAGGGTGAGGTGGCATTGCCAGGACAAGTCCCTGGACCCTTCATTTTCCCCAGACTCATCCCCTGTTCTGCATCTTCGCTTCTACAAGCAAGCTGCTAGCACGTCTTTTCCCTCCTTTCCCTGCACAGCAAACTCCTACTCAGCCCTCCAGGGCCAATTCCATTGTCACCTGCTCTGTAGTATGTTCCTCAACTCCTTGTCTTGTATCACAAAACATTTATACATCTAAGCACTTCATTACATGCAGCCTTTACCATATGGTGCTAAAATGATGAACGCGTCTGCTTCCTCCTTCCTCCTGCCCCGCCCCTCCCCACCACTCTCCACAGGCACTAGGGACTATATTTTCTCTTTTTTGAGTCCTCAGTGCTAAGCACATCACCTGGCACTAAATCACTATCTATTGAATGAATGAATGAGTAAATGAATGAATAACAGACATGAAAAGAAATAATAGGAAGGAACGGGTTCACTAACTATCATATCCTGCTTTGAGGTCGCTTACTGTTTGCTGGATACAATGATTACACCATCAACGTCTGGGATGTTCTTAAGGGATCCCGAGTCTCCATCCTGTTTGGCCATGAAAACCGAGTTAGTACTCTCCGTGTTTCCCCTGATGGGACTGCCTTTTGCTCAGGATCATGGGATCATACCCTCAGAGTAAGAAGTTTTTCTGCTTTATACTGTGTGAGAGAAAGCATGAATGTCCTTCCAGGAAGCCAAGGGGTCAGCGTGAACTGGGATGGGCTGGGTCAGCCAGAGAGCTCTGGTTGCAGCTCTTCCCAGAGCCACAGAGGGCTGAGTTGCCTGGAAAGGTAGTGAGTCCCCACTCAAGGCAAGTGGTCAAGCATCGGTTAAACAACGATGCGTCAGCATTTAGATGAGAAAACAGTTGAGTTTGGAGAGGCAGATGTTCTCTTGACCCTAAATGCCTGATTCACCTGCTCCTAGCCTTTCACAAATCACAGATTGCCAGTGTGGGAACCTTATTCTGTGGTAACACAGCCCCCCAATACCCAAAAAGAGTCATTGGAGGCCCACAAAGCATCTGAAATTACATGCCAAATTGTATGTGTGCATTCTCCCAGGAAAGGTGTCCCTACTGGCTTTGGTCAGATGCTCAGAGAATTCCATGATCTTGTTAAATGTTGGCTCCCCAGAAATACCAAAACAGCCTGTTCATAAAACAAAACTGTCTACTGAGGTGTGGAATATCACAAACATGATATTGGTGGCATCTTGGAAGACACATATGTTCATGAGGTTTGGGGGGGTCAGTTTTTGGGGAGGTCTTTTGACCTCTTAAGTTTTGACAAATTTGTGGCAGCATAGTTTATAAAGGATACAGGACACAGGGTGGAGGGAGAGGATTCCAAAGACAGTCTTGAAAAGTAACTGGTCATGTGATGTTCTAGACTGTCCTGAGAAATGAATGCTTTTTGAAAGGGCAGTTACGTTGTCTAGTCTTAGGATAGATGGAACTTTTGCTAAGATTTTGAAAGAAACCAAAGTTAATTGTGACTTCCTTTCCCCAAACCTGAGTTTCCAAACTAGTCATGTCCTATTTATGTGCCCTGTGAGCTGTGTGAGTACAGCTGGTTTCAGGACTCAGTCTAAAAGTTACCAGTCAGTGGTTGAGGGGCCAATGACAGCCTGCAGACGACTGAGTGCGGAAGGAGAGGAGCTGACCCAAAGAATCACCCCTGAGTTGCTAGAGTGAAGTGTTCCCCTTCCCAGTCATGTCTGTGCCGTGTTTTGCGTGGAGCTTGTGTGTGTGTGTGTGCAGCAGAATAATACTCCTCGTTAAACTCAAGTTTTATAAGCTGCTAACCATGAAGGTATTAAAAAAATTCTGCTTGTCTCTGCAGGTCTGGGCTTAATCATCTTCTCACAGTGCACACATAGGTACCTAGGCATAGAATTTGAAAGTGTCACATGTTAATATCTTACTTCTGAGAGACTCTGAGGGCTTGGTGCAACTCAAAGGGAGCAACTCCAGGACTGAAAGTTGACAGTATCTCCAACGTTACCATTAAAACTGCCACCTAGAAAAGATTCCGCCGTGAGCCCCAGCACTCGGAGAACACCCGCAAGTACAGTGTCTTTCAGTTTAAGCACTTTTTAAAATGTATTTATTTTTAAGGTTGTTTTAGTAATACTCTGTTCCCAACAGAATTCAGCATTTTATAGATTGTATACTGTTTCCTTGAATCAAATTTGGTTCTGGAGCACTTTAAAGCCTGATTTTTCTCAGTGTTTGTGTGACTTTTGGAACCTTCCTTTAGACGTGCTAATGTTAATGGACTATGTGAGAAGGTCTTTGTTAAGCAGTCTGTTAAGATTCCAAACCCAAATGTAATTAGATCAAATCACTTTATAAAAAATGTTTTTATTGTAAGAGAATCTTTTTCAGTCTCACATCCTATTGTCTTTTTTGAGATCAAACGTTCTCATCTATGTGGACCATTATGAACAGAGAGGTGCATAAAATGGATAGGATGTCTGATGTCTGAATTATGTGATGTATCACTGCATCACCTGGGCAGAAAATTTTCTTTCCTTTGAGGGAAAAGTGGAATGTCGTTGTGACATATTGCTTCTCAGAGCAACCAAAATCTTTCTGTGTAAGAATACAACAGTAAACTTACTGAAAAATTGACTATAGTATTAGATGTATTAGGATTAGTAGTATCCACTCAGGCTACAGTGAATCTTGTCCATATAAACCATACTCATATTTATTGCACTGCGAGTGTAATTACATATATAAATTGACAGGTCTCAGATGATAATGCCTTTGCTTCTCTTATGTTGAGAAAAATATAACAAAAGTTATCTTGTCTTTACTTGAGACTTCAGTGATTCCTTTTGGAAAATACAAGCATGTTTGCTACAGGGTACCTTCCTTTTTTTTTTTTTAATTTAAGTGCTTATTCTTTGTTTTAGAAAACTCATTCAGGAAGATGGCATGCATTGATTTGGGAAAATAAAAGGTCACCTCAGACCAAAATCACTCCTGGATGAAGCTTGACCCTGGGGCGGCCTGGGGTTTGGGTGGCTGGGCTGGTGGCCCAGCAGCTGTGTGCCGGGCTCCCTGGACCTTCCCTTCTCCACTCCTGGCCCTATTCCAACCCAGCCCTTTTCCTGGTGGTAGTTATGTCTTTGTGGGCCCTGCCCCAGGCTGCTCCTCAGAGAGGTCCTTCCAGAGTTGGAGCTGTGCACAGCCTCGAAGGTTTCTGGGCCTGGTACTTCTGTAAACTTGGGGTTTTGAGGATAGTGTCAGATCAACCCCCAGAATTACTTGTTCAAGTATCATCATGAGCCAATAAGTTAAAAATGAGCCAGGCCAACTCTGCCGCCAACTTTTTCAAATATACAGTCTTTTGCCAAGGAAACATTTACTGAGGTTTTTACGTAGCAGGCCTTGAGGTAGAGAAAGAAATGCAAGAGCCCCTGCTTGCCTCTAGGGAGCCTGGATTGACGGAGGCAGTATGGTTCAGAGGGTCCATTTTGCAGCCACTGTCCCCACTCCCCCCAGTGTCTTGACAAGGTGGCAGAGAAACTGGCAGAGTCTACCAGCTGTGTGCACCGGATCAGGCCCCAGCATGTATCCCATGAAATTCCTAACCTCCCAGAATAGTCAAGAGATCGTTCCTGGTCTCCTAGTTTTGGCAGTCCTGTTCTCCTACGGGCCCTTTTCATGCCTCTACATGCTTACCTTGCTTCCCAGAAGTAAAGAAAGACAGAGTAGAGGAAAAAATCATCTAGATTCAAAGAAAATACAGTCAAAGTTCTGTGCTTGCAAAGAAGAAGAGCATCTACAGTTTATATACTTTCCAATCACAAAAGTGACTTTTAGGGCCCTCAGAAAATATTCCATAGAACACTCACTCCCATAGGCTGGAAATCATCTCCCCTATAAGTATTTAATTTCACAGCAGGTGTTGTTCAGTAGTCATGGATGCAATATTTGGCTGGGTAACTCAAGGGTGTAAACACTAGGTAATAAATTATATTTTGCATACTGAACAAAATGCTGACTTTTTAAATCAGTTTTTTTTTTTTTTAAGAGGACCAAACCAATCGTGAAGGGGCCAAACAGATAACCCCCAGGTGTGCAGCCCCTTCCCCAGCCTGAGGAGAGAAGGGTTAGGCCGGAATGGGGTCAGATAAGGAGCCATGCAGCAGCAGGTGTTTGGGAGAAATGTCTGTGGACCTCTTGGCTAGCTTCCAACAATGGGCCTGGCTCCTCAGGATGTACAGAGGCAGAGACCCCATGTTCCCTTCCACCATACTCTTCCCTAGATTTTAAGCAGCTCACAAGCAGCACAAGGTTGTCACAGCCTTTGTATGCTGGGCTCTTGTTGCTTGGCCAGCTTGTTGCTTGGATGACACCAGTACTCATCTGCGTGTCAGAGAGGCCAGAGTGCAGAGTTCACACCCAGCTCTTTTGTATGAAGAGGACAGATGATAATGCCTAACCTTCTCCCAGCCTCAGTGTCCCCATCTGTGGTATGGCACAGAACTAAAGTATGTAAAAGACTGGAACCTGACTAGAGTCTGGCTGACATTTACAGCTGGGTAGCTTCCACAGTGGGCTGACTAATGGCCAGTTCTGACATATGTCAGAACTGTAAAAAAGTTCTGTAAAAAGTTACGATGACATATGTCATTGTAAAAAGATATAGAACCTCTAGTGAGGAGATAGAATTGGAACAATGCTCTGGTTTATTTGACTATATGAGCAAATAGGAACAACTCAGTGTAAGTATAGTATGAACAGTCATGTGAAGACTGACAAAAGACGTTGAAACCAAGGGTATCTCTAAACAGGCATTCCTGCTGGATGCTTACCTTTGTCATAAGACAGGAACCATAGAGCAGGCCACTGTTCCCAACCCATCTGTACTGCAATAACTGACAGCCTCCCATTCTTAGGTAGACCCAAAGGAAATGGGGAAAAGCCACCCAAGGGCCACCAGTCGAAGGCTGGATCAAGAAGATGTGGTGTAGCCATGCACTGGAGTACTGTTTAGCCATAAGGATGGGTAAAATGTGACCATTTCTAGCCATGTGGAAGGAGAGCAAAGGAATTCTATGTAGCAGAGTACGTCAGATAAAGATATAAACTGGAAAATTTCACATATCTGAGCAAAATGAGGAATCAAAGTTGGGTGAGCTGACAAAGCAAAATAATTATGAACAATTTTATTTTTATGAACTAGGACTTTGGTACCAAAGAGAAGGTTCTGAAGGTTAGTGGGAGGGCAAGGGACATAAGACCACGGGGCAGGTGGCAGGGGGATGACTTTGCTGAGTGTGCGAGAGGGGCGTTTGGGGGTGAAAATGGGGATATAACCATGATAAATGCTATCATTTTTACCACTACATTGATCCAGTTTTCTTCAGAAAATTTTGTATGGATTTGCTCATTAAATTCTTACACCAGGGAGGTATATTTAATTATAATCATCTTTTTGTAGATTAGGAAACAAGGAAAAGCTCCCTAATGTGAAAGAAAAGAAAATATGTATACACAGACACCTGCACATTACCACTCATTACAGTCCAAAGTGGAACAACTCAAATGATGATGAATACATGTGCAAGTGTGGTCTGTCCATACAATGGAATATTGCATGGCCCTATAAAGTAATGAAGTGCTGATTCATGCTGCATCACAAAGGAACATTGGAAATGTGATGTTCAGTGAAAGTAGCCAAACATAAAGGGCCACACAGTGTGTGAACCCATGATCTGAAAAATCTATAATAGGTAAGTCCATCAATACACAAAGAATGGCTACTCAGTACTCAGGATGGTATGAGTGGGGTGTGATTGCCAGAGAGATGGGCTTTCTTTTGAGATAATGGAATTTAATTGTTGCAGTGGCCACACAATTCTGAATATACTAAAAACCACTGAACTATGTATTTTAAAAGGATGAGTTTTAGGGCATGTGAATTATGTTATAATAAAGCTGAAAAATATATATAATGGGGAAATGGTGGCAATAAGTCTCCAAGTATGTTCAGTATTTAAAAAGAACAAACTTTGGAAGGGATTATCCTGAGTGGAGAGAGCCAACATATGGTGAAGTGAAACTGTATGGTTTACTTATATGTGGACTATAGAAAAACCAAAGAATCAGACTAAGACGAACTTTAAAATTTATCCTTGAAAGCTAACCATAAATCTGAGGCATGGGGGAAGGGGTGAGGGAGGCAGGTTTTTACAATGGCGTATGGTAGAGAACTATAGTAACCACATCTGAGGGGAGAAATCCTACCCTGTGAAAGAATAAGGAAGTATACTATTGATGACATTAATTTAAAAAAAATGAAAGACTTAACATTTAGGCTTTGTCTAAAAGTGAGTATGGTAATCCTGGTTAGTTCAAACTAATAAAGGCAATCCAGTAAAGAATGTTTGCTATGTGCCAAGCATTGTGATAAGCACTTCCCATAACCCAATTTATAATCCTCACAATAGTCCTTTGAGGGAGTTTATCTAGCTGATTTTTAGTGGTACAGGGGTGGGCGGCTGTCGAGGGGTGGGTGCAGGCTAGGGGGAGTTGAACAACTTGCTCACAGCTGTACAGCTTCTAAGTGGCCTAGCCAGGATTTTAACCAAGTCTGACTGCACACTTGTACCATGGAGGTCGGAGGTTGTCGGAGGTTGATACTCACTTGTGTTTTAGTTCAAGTGATAATTATTAACAGCTATCCATTGATTGAACCAGAGGATTTACCACTCCACCCCTTAGCTACTCCAAATCTAAGAAAAAATTGTGTACTTGCTGCTAATGCACAACTTTCAAAAAATAAGGGACTGGCAAATAAAACACAAACATATCAAAACATTTATTGACTCAATTATTGACGTAATGAGGCAGTCGTAAGATGTCAAAACCGATTCAAATGGGAACTTTTTTTTTTTTTAACACAATTCATATGGCTCACTGTAAAGCAGTCACCTGTGTGGGAAGGTCAGCGTGTTGGCAGAAGTGTCAGCCTTTGTAGGGAGAAGTTTCTTGCTGCTCCTTTCTCTCTCCCTGCTGCCACAGCCTCTTTGTTCAGCAGCCAATAGAGCAAGCTCTACAGCAACTGAGTAAAAAACAGCATGACATTCCCTGGGCACAGAACCTTGTCGACCTAATTTATAAAGAGCCTCTGCTACAGTACCTGCCCTTTGGGTACTCACAGTGGACAAGGTTACCTTCATAGTCTGCTCATGCAGAGGGCTGCAGCCAGGATTTCCTCGTCGCCAATCTTGTCCTGTTTCTGTCAAAGCCCTGAATGGCAGGCCAAATCGTCCACAGCTGCCATGCATCACTGTAGATCTTTGCTGCAGCCCTGTCTAGTCACGTCTCACTTCAGACATGGTAGATGATAGTCAACCTGGTTTTCTGCCCATTGGGGGAGATTTTCCTTCACATTCTTCACAGGCATCCCTGAATGTGGCTGTACTGCTATCTGTTTTTATGTGGTTCCAGAACATAATACAGAGCCATCAGCATCCTGGCTTGAGTTTTCCTCTCAACTGGTCATACACAACCCCCTGGAACCCTGATGCACATAATGAGGGAAGAGGCAAAGCAGCTGGTTCCTGGAGCCTGGCCTGCCTACTTATGGAGGCCTGCCTGATCTGAGGCTCATATACCACTTCCTTTTGACAATAGATTGCTGCCTTTGACTAGCTAGGGCAGATAACATCCATATTCTGGTGAGAGTGCAAACTGCATGGTCAGTGTTTAGTAGGGGACTATGGTGAAGGCTCACTGGGGATTTATGGAGACTACACCTGAGGGGAGCAATAAAATATTGCACAAAAATGAACAACATAAGAAAATTTAATAAATAAAAGAGCTTGTAGGGAAAAATCTCTTGCTACTCCATCCTCTCCCTGCTGCTACAGCCTCTTTGTTTAGCTGCCTATAGAGCAAGGTCTACAGCAGTGGGATAAAAGCAAAACTGTGACATCTACTGGGCACAGAATGTTGTCAGTCTGAAA